AGCAGGAATATTTTTCTCAGAATACTCTTTTCAGATCTTTTCACCCAGTTTTCTCCTAGTCTGAACAAGGATTCAGAGGTCTTAATATTCCCTTCAAAAGTCTCATTTTTATAAAACTGGTATGAGAAGCAGTGCATACCACACTTGACTAGCAGGACCAAGTTATTTGCCACCATGACTTCTGGAATCAGAAATTATATGTAAATGGACACTACAAGGGTCCCCTTTTGTTTTATCTTCCCTCAGATTTATAAAAGCCTTGCAGGAATATGAAAATTTCCATTTATCAAACATATATACAAATATTTACAATAGACTTATAAAAAGAAAAACAATAATAATAAATATATCTCATTCTGTGAATCACAGAATCTAGTCCAATCCCCTTACCCAAGGAGGGACACCTAGAGCACATGGTACAGAGCAGTTCAAAACTACTGCTGTACTGTAAGTATTCTGCTCTTAGTTGCTGGAATTTACTCTGATTTTCTCTTCTCTTTTTCAACTGATTTTAAACGCCAACTACTTATTTTAATACATTTTCCTCTCTGCCTTAAAGAATTGAACTAATGCTATAATTATCACGTATTTCAAACAAGTAAGTGTTTAAATCAAACTTTTTTACTTATTTTCTGTCACGATTATCTCTAGTGTAAGTGATCAAGCAACAAGGTTCTGAAACCCTCCTCTGAGATAAGATTACAACTAATAGAAGATACTGCGATTGAAGAAGATTGAATGTATCTTTAACCATGCTGGGCCAAAAGTTGCTTTCTAGGCTGCCAATAATTCTATCATTTTCTCAGGTAAATAGGAATTATCAGGCTTGTTTAATATCAAATTGTCATGCTTATTTTTGAAATGTATTATTTAAAAAAAAAAAAAGTAAAATATTAGCACCTGGGAGAGTATACTGTGCCTTTCCTACCATCTGAGTGTAAAACAGCTTATTCAAATTTTAATCTATCTCTAATCTGATTAACGGAAACACACAGAATTCCTTAGTTAACAAAAATCAAACCAGAAATACAATCAAAATGTTCAGAGGATTTAGCAACTGTATGAACCGTTATAGACAATGTATTTCTGGTTCTTAATTTATTTTATAGTCCAGAATATCAAATATAATACTGTCTTACTATTGGAAGCAGTTGGCTTAAACAAATAGACAAATCTTCTATCTGTCTCACAAAAAAAGACAAGTAAAACGAAAACAAAAAAGTCTTTCTACCTTATTGTTTCCATAGGCCATATCCATGGCTTCCAGAGACAAGGAGCAAAGGGCATTTATTAAGTGATGTAAGGACACATCATCAAGATACCTGAAAAATAACAGCTATCAAAGCATTGCTAAGTTTGATACATACACATTACTTCAAATATAAGATGAGGTCTCTTACTGTGAGCTTTCAAACAGCCTTGAAAGTATGTTGGATATAACTGGCAGATCAGTCATAACTGCTGTAGTAAGAACCTTAAAAACAAATAGAAATTTGTCTTATAGATTGCAACAGAAAACACTGCATAATCACTCCGGTACAGAACGAACAATTGTGCTTACTGTACTGGGCCCTTCCACAGCTCTGCCGGGTTTTAAGGCACCCCCAACACCTGGCTTCAATCCCAGAATCCACACAAGATGCTGAAATACAAAAGGATAAATTTCAACATAGATTTCTATAAAGTGGCAGAAATAAACACATTATTTTAGATTTATTTACACAAAAATATTTAGGTTTCCGATATTTGTGTTTCAGAAAAACCTCTTAAGAGAGGGAGAGGAAACTTAACACTCTTTGAGATAGCGGGCAGCCAGCCGGCCCAAAGAACTCAAAGGAGATACTACAGTAGGTGTGCAAGGCAACTCAAAGTGCACATGAGTAGAATCAAAGGTTTTACCACACCTGAAGAGTAGCCAGGACAAGCTGCCACGATGTACCAAGAACAGCTCCATGGCAGTGGGCTAAGTTGAGTAATGTCCTCATGCACTGGATATTTTTTGAAGTCAGCTAAAAAGAAAAACATATATATATGTATATAATGTTTTATAATGTTTGCAGGAAACTTGCCTTTTAAGTTTAACTAAGTAGCTTAAAGATTACGTTTAAAGTTAGCACTGGTCCAACACATCTATTTTACATAAGTAATTCAATAACTCTCCATCTCTCAGTCTTATCTTGCTGGGGTTGAATAGAGGCAGCAAGAAAATGATGCTACTTCACTGAACTAAGCAGAGAACGGGTTACATATAATAAAGGTCAAACCAGGCAAACTCAAAAGCAAGAGATGCTCCTGACCAAAGAGCAGTCATAAGCAAGACAACCACGATATGGGGAATTGTGAAAACTCGCAGGGAATTGGAAGATCAAAAACACAAGTTCAAGCTGGAGAGCTTTAACGACATCTTGTCTACAACATCAGTCTGTTTTGCAACAAAATTTAGGGTAAATTTTTGTACACAGGCACAAAACAGAGCTGAGATCCAAGGGCTTTCAAACAAAATAGGTATGAGCTAAACTAAAATTCAGATAAAAGCCCAGAGCAAACTTGCTTTACAATTACAGAGCTTTGCTGTCTAAATTAAGAGCCTATGAGAACACATCAGATGAACAGCACTTTTACAAAGATTATCTGTTGTCTCTTCTGAGACATACTGAGACGTACAAAGAGTCTGTTAAGCAAGACAGATCATTCACAAATTGCACTTACCATCACTGTTCCCTGGGGCTGAAGGGCTAAGGGCTGACCTACTGCTACAACTTGCTGATGAGACTCGCTTGAGGGACTGATCATTTGAACATTCTGTCCCTGAATAGAATATGCTAGAGGAAAATGAAAAAAATCCAAAACTTAACAGCCAGTACTCACTGGAGTAACAATCACCAGCTTCTGACAAACAAATTTATGTGAATTTTAAACCACAGCACTAACTTTACAGTAGCTCATTACACTGAGATCTTCACATATATTTATATTACTACAGTATTGCTTTAGAGGGTTAAACGAATCAGTATTAATTTGTCTCCCATTAACTACAAAGTATGGCTTGCAACTTGTATGTCCAAAGTGAAGTATTTGTGCAAGCACCTACAGGCTGAGTATATGCCTCAACTCTTGTTATCTGTCTAAAATCAGTCGTGCTACTGCTGTATTTGTGCAGTTTGAAAATAAGGGTGTTATATTTGCTATGTTGTGATGTTTTTCCAATACAGTACTACAAGTGACCCTTTTTGCAACTTATCTGTTACCTGTAACTTATCTGAGAGAAGAGTAGCATACCAACCTAACTATGGTAAGATGAAGCTCACTGCTTCTCTCCCTTCAGAAAACTTAAGGAATGCATTACAAAGTAAGCTAGATCTTGCTATTTTTATGTTTATAAACTACATTTGCAACGTGCAAAACTACTACACTTTAGCAGGGAGCAGCAGTTACTGTTAGAACAGTTTCTCCCCTACTCACAATCTAATCACATCCTCAGCTAGGGGGCTGAAGAAGAGATTCTGGTCCTCATTTCCCAGCAAGTGACACCCAGAGGTCTGTATTAGAGATCTACTGTTAGACCAATGTGCAATTAAATTTCTGGCTAATAACAATTCAGTTTGTAAAATCAGAAAGTGTACAGCATCATCTGTACATATTTCATGATTGGTGTAGCATCCACAGGATGGGGAAAGCAGCAATTCACTCTTTTGCAAGCTGAACAGAGCCCAGAACTTAAGACCTGCCATTCACTCCATAAGTACTAGAGTCACTAGACAACTATAGAAAAGACTGAAGAACATGACTAATGAAGGAAGCTCACACAAAATTAATACAGACAAATACTTTATGCCAAAGAACACTATATTTACTTGGGTTAGAAATCACATCTTGAGAAAAAAAGTTGGGTTTTGAGTTATTTTAGCATGGACAATACATGAAACGAAATTAAACATATATGAACATATAATAAATGAAATGCAGATGCTTACATTTGCTCGAGAGAGCTGCAGTTGTGCTGTTCAATACAGTAAGGGCATAGTGAGGAGGCAAGGACCCTTTGCAAATGGCGGTGATAAAGGCATCTCTTGACGTGACGAGACCTAATCTTCCACAAAGCGCAGCCATGGTCAATTCTGCTTTTAAAATATTTTCAGTGGCAGCTTCATCAGTGCTGAAAGAACATGTATCATTTAGTAAGAACACACACACACACATATCTGCAGAGACAAGAGCTAACCAAACATGAAAGCTGTGAGAACTCAGGGCTTAAAACTGGCAGCACCACAAATGCTGAAGAGCAAGCATAACTAATCAGCAAAATTCTTTAAAACTACTTCTTACAAAATTGGTCTTTAGTTCTGAATGACTTAGTGCAAAGGAGCCTACAAGGAGGTATTTAACGCTGATTTGAAAAAAAAGGGTTTGATAAATAAAGACTCTTTGAAAGGGACAATTAAGTTTCCAAAGTTATCTACTAAACAGAGAATCCACTTCAAAGGAAATATTGTGTAGTCTTAACAAGCACTGAAAAAATTTTTTATCACTTTATCAACAGTAATTAAGACTTGAAAGAAAACACTTCAATACAGCAAAACATTCAGTCAATAAATAAATAAATGAGTTTAAATAGAAATCTTTTAAAATTACTGCTCTCTATATGTTAGAGCTCCATGTATATCACATGTACGTACAACTATCTACTATTGATTTTTATGCTACACATTCAGGGCCTTCCATGTAGTTTACTCCTAACAGAATCACACTCAATCTACCCATCACTAACACACTCTGATATTGACTGCTCTGTACTATGAAGAGCTCTTTCCCATACTCTCTTTATCATATTCTGTCAATGAACTGAGTTTTGAAAGTGCTCACAAAGTGTAACTAGGAGTACATTCTACGGAAGAGATTCCAAAAGACAAAATACCTTGCGTCAAGCAGGAGGGATAATGCAGCAAGAAGACCACACCAACATGCATTCACCATTTCTTCCCAGACAGCTCTGCTAACTTGAAAGAAACGCATACCAAGTTTGTAGCAGAAAAAACAAAACTGAAAATTTTTAAATGAAATATTGGCACCAACGCACAATGCTCATTTAACACCATTTAAACACCTGCATTTGATCAGTATCTATAAGTACGTCAAGGGAGGCCGTGAGGAGGATGGTCCTGGCCTCTTTTCATTGGTGGCTACTGAGACCTAGAGGAAATGGCCAGAAACTAAAGCACCAAAAGCTCCACAGCAGCTTAAGGAAAAATTGCTTAACAGTGAGGGTGACTGAGCACTGGAACAGGTTGTCAGCAGAGGTTGTGGAGTCTCCTTCTCTGGAGATCTTCAGAACCCCCTTGGACACAATCCTGTGCCACGTGCTCTAGCTGATCCTGCATGTGCAGGGGTTTGGACTAGATGACCTCTAGAGGTCCCTTCCAACCTTAAGCACTTAAGCATTCTATGATTCTATGATTTCAAGCAACAATGCTGAAGTAAAAAAAAAAAAAAAAAAGTCAGGTGGCATTTACGATTCTCCCGGTTCCCAAAACCGGGTGTTTTATTTCCCTAACGTGGCAGGGCTACGACTTGCTCTCGCTGGCCGCGCTGTCGCCCTGCCAAGGCCTGCGCGCCGCGCGCCGCAGCACCACAGGGAGCTCCACAGCGCCGCGCCCATGGCCACAGCTCCCGCCTGCCCGCTCCTGGGCCTGGGACACGCGGGAGAGCCGCTCCAGGGAGCCGAGCGTTTCCCCATGCACTCATACGGGCTCCTCGTGCAGCAGAATCCCAAGCCCCTGCTGTTTCTGCTGCTAAAGGAGGTAAATTCTTCCCAAATCCTTAAATGACATCTCTCAATTAAGACATCTTGTCTTCTCATCTTGAAACAGGATTTTGTAATGTGATTGTAACTGCCACGTTTTTTGCGTCGGGATCTCTGCTGTGGCCTGTGTGGATCTCAGTGCTGAGCAGAGCTAGGAACACAGGAAGGCAGAGCAGCAGTCCTGCAGAACAGGACACCTATTAGCAGTGCTCTGCCGTTCCAACCACACACATACATGCAAACCAGAACTGCAACACCATAAGGAGACAACATTTAAAATGCTGTATGTCAGAAACGGTATGTAAGAGTCAAGTATCTTTTTACAGCCTATTGCTGTTCTGCTAAAAAAGCTATTTCAGAGAGAGTTTATGAACTATTTCCAAATATTTGTTCAAATGTGACTAGAAATGATAAAATTCTACAAATTACTATTTAATGGAAGGCTTTTACATATTATTTCAAAACAATTAATTTAAACAACAAAGCATGAAGTATTTTGGCTCTTCTTTGCATAAAATTCTTAAGGATCTTAATGATGTAGCTGCTTAACGCTTAATCTTAATAAAATGCTTAATCTTAATGATGTAGAATTTCTCCATAATTTCTCCAGAAATTTCGCCAGAATTTCTCCATAATAAACAAATAATAAAAAGGATCTACATATATTACACATACAACTGTCCTAGTAAGATTGTTTCTTGTGTTATAATTTGTGTTACTTGCATTTTCAAATACCTAGGTCTTTCTCCGATTGATCAGATGCAGACTGCAAATCCTGCTGCTCCGAGGAGTGTGCTGGTGATGAGGTTGCCTCTGCTGTGATCTGACCAACTGTTTCAGCCTCTCCCAACTCTCCTTCAATCATTGTTGTGATACCACGGACAAGATCCAGCAAACAGTGAAATGCTACTGACATGGCATAGCCCTCAGGAATTGTAGGTGGCTCTACTTTGTCCAGCATTTCCAAACTTAAAAAAAAAAAAAAAAAAAAAGGCATGACAAGCAAGTGTGTAACAGTACAACTGTGACTAAAAATCAGTATGAAAATCCAAACTCCTGAGAGTTACGAACAGGCTCAAAATATCCATCCTTGAAGAGTTACAGAAACTCCAGCGAACAAGCTACTTCACAAATTAAGTTACTAATTAAAATAGTAAATGACACTAAATACAATAGTAAACAAAAGAGCAGAAGCTGTGTATTGCATGTAGATCTGCAAATAAATATTAAGACGTTAACACATATAAAAGCGTATTACTGAATGAATTACGCTACTTGCATTTTCGCTTAACTGTTACTACAAAACTACCTTTACAAAAGTATGTACCAGAAAGAAATAAAGCAGCATGGATATTGCTATAGCAACTTGAGAGAAAGTCACATGTTCCATGATTACACCAAGTCCACTGCCACTGGATGATAATTTATAACCAAATACTCATCGCCTTCCATCAACTATGCTGAATGCAGATGTGCATGATAGAGGTTAATTGTATAAAAAGGAACTGCTGACATTATTCACTTCTGAAACCTGGAGCTGATTTTTCTTTTTAAACCTCAAAGCCAATTAAGGGAATCTCTACATTAGAAAAATACTGAGAGCCAGACTTTTTCCTGATTTCACCGAGTATTCTTAACTAAAATCTTGTGGGCTGTACAAATAATTTGCAGTTTGAACAGATGACCCTCAATGGTCATGACTGACATGAAAAAAAACCTTCCATTATTTCAAAAGGCATTGTAACCTCATATTTATAGCTCTGTAAACTGAAAATACAGTCCCCATCGCACAAAGTCTTTCAAAAAAAAAAAAAAAAAAACACGACACCTAGCAGGTCATACTAAGAAGCATTCAGAGTCTAACCTGGGTATATAGGATCAATATATTCCAATGCTTGGAATGGCAACTTGTCCAGCATTTATCAAAACATCCTTTTCCTTAAGAACTGCCATAGAGTGGAAGCACTGTGGAAAGCTATTTTCCACCCACCCCCTGGTTTAATGCCTCTCGTTTGCCATTACAGAAGCTATTAAAAGATATTCTAAGATTATTATTTACCAGAGTGAGGCCTCAAACTTAAGAGTTAACACTGCAATGGTGCAGTAATTCCAACAGATGCTAAAGCCATAGGTGATATTTGAATCAGAATCTATAACATTAACAAAACAATGAGGAAAAAAAAAAAGAAAGAAACAGATTGCTTCACTGCACTGACTAAAAATTCATAAAATATCTCAAATACAAGTAGAAATAGCACTTGCATACTAAATATTTTTTTAAAATCCTTATAGAATCAAGTTGTAAATAACTACCTTTAACACATGTTTTTAAAAGGGATGGTGGTACTTACTAGGTAGCTTTAGCACTTCCTTGTACTGTTACGTTCAGGATGGGTATCCAGGTACCTCTGTACTCAAAGGCAGGTAACACAGTTGCGCCCCCTCCCATTCCAAGCACTCCTGGCGCAGCTTGTGCTGAGCCCGCGCTGCCCGACACGTTGCTTCCTGCTCAGAGGAAGGAAATGATAAAATTAACCATCCTAGCAATTTAATTTTAATTACCAAGCATCCTTTTTCTATGCTGATTTTTCACGTTGACATATGGATCAGAGATCACCAGCTTGCTCGGGAGAAGGAATCACTATATTTGTGCTCCCCCTGCTGTCTAAAACACAATGTTACGTGCAGAGTAAAAGGCACTGCTGGTATCAATTGCTGTTTTCAGTCATAATAAAATATTTTTGTGAAAGGTATAGCAAGCAGCAGCATTCATAACTCTCTATGAACAAACTAAACTTAAATGGCCTCGATTAAAAATATTTTATATACTTAAATAAAAATATACATTATATACATGTTAAGTGTAGCATCTAAGACCTTTAAATAAAAAGTCATGGATTATTTGAAAAGCTACATGAAGAATTCATGAAATTATAGGAAATACAAATAAGTCACTCCAAGAATAAAGATACACAAACTCAAAAGATTTCAAAAATGCAAAAGCCACATGAAGAAATTCAGTGGCTTAAGAACTGCAGGATTCAAATATTCTAAAATTGTTCAACTCCAAGCTAGAGAAGAATAAACACCAGGGAAGAGCCAACAACATGCCAACCGATGGGCACAAGGCAACTAATTCTGATTCCACTCTAAGAAGTCAAAAAAAAAAAAAAAAAGAAAAAAAGACTTTATATATGAAGAAGTCTATACGTGATCATCAGAGAAGAAACAGAGGCATTAGGAATACTCAGACAGGAAGACAAAAAGGTGAGAAGTTAACAGAGAAAGTTATTTGCAATGATAAGCCCCTGAAATAGCGATAAAGCTAAGGACAAGGCTGTACTGCAGACTAAGGAAAAACAGAAATTTGGAAAGCGGATGTTAAGAATAGTGTATTACATGATGACAACTGCTTTTTTGATTTGCCATAATAGGTTAAAGTAACCCAGAAATAAAAAAAAATGGCTCTACCAGCTTCACACAGACAGCTACTGAACAGCAGCCACTGTGATAAATTTCTACACGTAAACAACATCAACACCAACTCGGAACTCAGAACACACCTTTGAGTGAGCGCTGATGTGTATGAGAAAACACCATTTTTTAAATGTTTATTTAAAGCATAATCTATATCCACAATCCCTTACACAACAGCAAAACTGTAATTCTCTCTAATGTCCAAGGTGGAAGAGAAAAGACCTGCTAACTCCGATGCTTCCTGGACTGCTAGGGCAATAATAAATGACTAGGAGAAAAAGTGACAAAGATGGTTCAGTTCTTAGCAGAAAGGTTTCCTACACACACACACACACACACGATCAGACAGTTTCCTTCCTTCCTTATCCACAGATCTTGCACATAATTTGGCCTGTCTGTGCGTATTTGTCTAATCTTGATAAAAAGTTGCATACCACTGGTGATGCACAGATTTCTGCCATGAAGAACAGGAAAATATTCATGCTCACTTTTGAGACACTCCATTAGGCAATCTACTTTCTATTGCTTGCTGTTTAAAAGTAAACAGCAGCAGGGAAATACACTGTTTTATTTTGCCCTAATAAAACAGCATTTTGAAGACAAAATTTTTCATTTTCAGGTCTCTAAAAAGAAGTAGATAAGTATTTTTTATATTACGCTTAACTCTGCACCTCAGAGCCTCATTTAGCTCTGAAGTGCTCTGAGTCATGGTTTGTAGACTGAATAAATTGAAGAAAGATAAATAAAAATCCTGAAAGCACAAGTCATACAAATCTACTTTTCCAATAAAACCGTAGCCTGCACCTGCCTTTTCTGCAAAGTTTCCCACTTACAGGAGCTGGGAATCATTTCAGACTTCAGTGATAACGTACTAAGAAAGCTTAACAGCAAAGATTTTATTCTCTTTCAGGGACAAACATATGCATTACAAAATGTTCAAGTTTATATGGTCACTCGCTTGATATATTTATCAATTTTTATTATAGATATATTATCAGAATTACTAACAAATTACTATCTTGTTTAAGAAGGTATGTCTAGAGAAACACTATGAAACTGCTTTTTGTTTGTTGGTGGGTTTCAGAGCTATGTGAAAAGGAAGAGCACTCTAACTCAGACGTGACTGCCCTCAAAAGGATTAAAGAGGAAGACCATTCCTTCTTACAAAAATAAAAATACACTTAGCGAAATGCCCAAATCCTGGCTGCAAGGAATACTAGCCAAATTTCAGTAATGAACTATTTTCTTCATACAGAAAAAGCAAAGAACATCTGTAAAGCCCAGGTCTTCCTTTCTACACTGTGGCTTTCCTAATCCAGTTCAGACCCTAAAAAAAACATAAATAATTAGCTTTGTCTCTCAAAGCTCTTACTACTTTAGGTGCACATACTCTTACATCTCGAAAAACAACATCTCAAAAATTAGGCAAGTAGAGTCAGAAACCAGAAATAATTCCCTCCATTTCCTTCAAAAAAGGAGGGAATTCTGAATCGGGAGCTGAGTCACCCTAGGAGTAGACGCAGCCGTATGGATAATGCTCTGTTGACTGGGGACTAAACCTACCCTAGGCAGGAAAGGAGGATTTTCCCCGGGTAGGCAAAATCATCCACTGTAACAGACCTAGAAACACAAGTTTATTTCAAGCTAGCTTTTCACATAAACAAACGATAAATTGTACTAAGCCAAATGTATAAACTGGAACAATTCTAAATTATAAGAAAAAATTGAAAAATTAAAACTTCAGTGAGAAAGTAACTTTACCTGCTTGATTTGGTGCTGCTGATGTGTTCCCTGTGCTTGTTACAAGAAATAGTGACTGTATGAAGGACCCCAGTGCATTCACAATATCTCGGAAAACTTTAGTGGAATGTTGCTTCATATCATAGGACTGACAAAAGGACCTGTATTTTTAAAATTATAGTATTTCACAAGTTAGAAAGCAAAGGCACATTTTAACTGCAAAGATTTAGGTGAACAATAAAATTTACTTTTGGGTAAATGTTTCTTTAATACTGGTGAGGCACAAAGGCTTTGGGATAATCAGATAACTGTAATTCGGCTATTCTGGATAATAAGGATTGTCAAATACTTCCAAAAATTATCTTGATGAGTTTGTTTCCCTTTAAGTTTCAAAATATTTACAGTATTTCAGGAAGTTCTTTCCACCAGAAGAAAAACAGAGGGATTTCTTCACTTCCACATAAAAGTTAAGTTTGAAATATTGTACCTTAATAGCTGAGGCTGCACACAAAGCCTATGAATAGATTCTACTGCGACAGCTCTTAGCCACTGTGGTTTGTCTGCATCCAGAAACTTAACCAGCAGAGACAGAAAGATTTCACATTCCGTTACCTAAAAGACACAGTTTACAGTCAACAAAGTTTTTTAAAAAATGTGTTACAATGAAGAAATGAAAGAAAAAAAATTTTTTTTTTTTTAGAAAATACCTAAAAATCTGGAAAATAAAAAAACAATAGCAGCAATGTATGTGGCATAATAAACGAACAACGTTTTAAATTTATAAATATCTTTTATCAATTTTTTGTCAACGGTTTGTTAGCAACAATTAACAAGCATCACGATCAACATATCGAAAGTCAAAGAAACAACACGCAAGAGGATTAAAAAAAAACTTAATTGAAAGATGGTCAAGTAAAGGAATTTTTGGCAAATATAGGAAAGTCCAAAGACAGTTAACAACCTACTCTAAGAAGCTATGCAAGTAGAACAGAGCCTACAAATAAGCATTTTACAAGCAAACACAAATACATATTAAAAAGATGATATAAATTTCTTTCCTTCCCTCACTATGGGTCAAGTGTTCCCATCAACTAACACTTCATTAATTCAGTACCAGTACATACACAGAAGACCAGTTCTGTACAAATAAAATTTGAACATATTCTTACCAGTAAACTGTAAAACTGCTTAATCAAAACAGAAACTACTCTCAGCAAACGCATACAGATAGGGAAGTAAGGTTTTTCCACTGGTGCTGGGGAAGATGATGTGCTGGAACCTTGTCTGAATTTGATATTTGGGGAGAAGAGCTTTATAACAAGAGGGCATACCCTTTCTTTAAGGAGAAAACTGAATTCTTGATGCTGAAAAAGAAAAATTATTCAAATTATACAAATGAAAAATCAATTCACAGCTTATACCAATGTTCTTCAATTGCTGTATATAATGCTAAGTATCTTATTTACATTTAATGTTAAGACCAGGTACTCTGAAGTGACAAAATCACTGTATATATTACATGCTCTGGAAACCAAAAGCAAGAACCGCAGACATTGTAAAAAGGCTACCAAGAAGCACAATGAAATGACACCCTCAGATTCATACCACACACCCTTCTTGTATTTTGCAGATTATAATAATCAATACACAATAATGCATAACATTTATTACATAATTAACTTTTGAATTTAGCTACTGTCTGTTAAGATGCATTGCTAAAATATCATGGTGCATTGGAACAGATTCAAACAATTCTATGTCACAATTTTTTTTTTTGGGGAAAATTATTGTTTCTGTGGAAATAACGTTGCCACAAACTAAGCTACACAGCTGTATTTTCAGCAGTGCCATAAATCATGCAGGAAGATAAGGAAATAAGTCTTTGGAGGAGATAAAAGTGACAACATGAAACAGACCCTACTTACAAAGCACCACAACTCTAAAAAGGGCACAAACACAGAGGTGAACAAATAAAGTGTTTGGGATAGAAAAAAAAAAAAAGAGGTCAAAGTACACAGTTTATTTCTATGAGGGAAAAAAAAAAAAACAGGCAAAAGCTACAGCTTCTCTTAAGCAGTATACTGACACATTCCCACTAAATTAATGAGGATTTAATTTTCTTACAATGTCAGGAAAAATGCTAATTTTCCTTCCAATAATTACTTACCTCTAAAAACACTTGCGGGAAGTCATTGAGGACAGACTCAAGAAGTTCAAGTCCAAACGTTCGGGTCATTTCTGTCATACCCACGAGCCAGTAGGGAGCATCAGCATTAACTAACTGGCAAAGATCCTTAGAAAGAAACACATTAGCTTTTACAGCCTCTTCACAGTCCTTTACTGGGGTAAAGCTTCAAATTTTCTGAGTCTACAAGATAAATCTAAACTGCTGCCTCCTTGGTGATACGCAATTATCCACTTGAAATTTCATTTTTCTCGAGTATACCTTTCACATAAAGTAGCAAGCAAAAAAACTTTCTAACAAATTTTAAACTTTGGTTGTATCCCTATAGTAATCATTCCTGCACTCAAAAATATCTCAAGAAAAGTGTATTTGATTATAATGAATACAATCATTACTTTCCACTGTACATTCTACATTTTAATGCCATGCCAGAAACAAGAAAAAAAGACTACAGCATGGTGCTGGGTCTGGCTAAAGCAAAAAAGAACCTTGAAGTTAATGCAGACAAACTTGCTTAGTTATTAGCTACCATATATTCCATTTATTTTCAGTATTTTTTCCTAAGCCACTCTGTCTTCATTTTCCAGTCATTCCTCTGGCTGTAACATTCCATTGCCTGTCACAATAACTATGCAAAAGGAAGTGCGAGGCTCTGGTTAAGGACCTTATCAATATCCTGACAGAATATTTTTCGAATTCCTGATAACGGTAGAAAAGCATCCAATCATAACTGCAAACGTGCAAGCACATGCCCTGCCCTTACCTGAAAAAGCATATATGCATCTTTAGCACACGGCTTCAGCGTACTGACCGATCTTCTGTTACTGTTTCCTTGAACTGCAACTGGCTGTTCCACAGCATCTGTGGAAAAGCAGAAATGAGTTCTGTGAACACGAAAGAACTGCTCCAAATCAAGGACATGCTAAGTGTTCTTACAAATGCAGATACTAGAAGAGTGCCCAGGTAATTCTTCCTCAAGTTATCATTTATACAGAACTAAAGGCTAGACTGAATACCAAGCTCTTATTTGAAATGAAAGTTCAGAACTCACTAAGAGTTATTTCATAGTGAATAATAAATGGTCTAAATGATCTGCACCACACTCTTGCCCCAAATTCCTTTGGGATCCTAATCCTTAAAACTAGTTCCCACAACTATTTGATACAGGGACAGGCAGATACAGATAAGTAGAGATCTGGACCTATGCAATAGCTGAGGATTTCATCTCCTTTTTATACAAGTACATGTATAAAATACAATAAAAAAGTTATATCTGTTCTCTTTCAGCATCTATATGCCTTTTTTTTTTTGAACTGTCTATCTGAAAAAGATCAATATTTGATGTGGGCTCAAAGAACAGGTTACCACAAGGAAGCAGAATAAGAAACATACCCACCTTTGTATCGCTCATCTTCAGCAACCACTCTTTCAAACACAACAGTAACTACCTGTCGGACTGTAGCTGCTGCTGTGTTATTGGTGATATTATCTTTCGTGAAGTGCAATCGAAAACAAAGTACAATTGCCTGAAAGAAAAGAATTTAATCTTACCTCTATATATCTATCTTTTAGCCAAGAGTCAAGGTAGTCTGGCAAAAAAAAAAAGTTATCTAAAAAAATGTATTTAATCATTGTAAGTTTGAAAAAATAGAGTAGTTTTGTGGATTTTCCCCATAGATTTTTTTACTATTATTCATCTCCCCCAAAGTAAGCTAGAAATAGCAGAAAGGTCAAGGAATACACACAGCCTCTCAAATCCTCTACTGATTTACATCTCAGTACTTCCATAATCCTGTTGCTTCTGTTGTGTCTGCTCTAAAATGCCAATTTTCAGGTGTCGCAGAGGTGGCACAAATACTGTTTCCCAGTGGATTTGACAAATCTTTCAGATACTTCTTAAAAGAAATGTATACTTATCTCAGGTAGAAAACAAACACTTTGTCATTTTACCCATGCTAAGGCTTACATGTTGTTCACTAGGAAACTCTAATAAATTTACAGGGTATTTGCTCTATGACAAAAATGTGTTTTTCTTTTCTTCCCCCTGTCAAAATCTGGGCAAAATTGACAGTATTTTTTGTTAAAAAAAAAATCTAGCTTTTAATGTGCTCAAAAGGACTTGTAAAAGTCCAGCAATTACATCTTCCAGTAATTCCAT